GGGGGACGGTTCAGCACTGGAAACACGTGGTGCCACTGCACGCGTGCCTGAGAGAGAGTTAGGGCACGCGAGCTGTAACGCAACTAGGCAGTGTTTGAAACACACACAGTGAGTTCATGGAGCCGGCACCAAGGCAGGGGGACTGGACCCTCACCGTGTGACGGGTGGGTGACCGCCTCCCTTTGTGTTTGCAGTAAAACGGCGTTTACACAAGTGGGTTTTCCTCGAGTCCCTGAGCGGATGGCCCAGCAGAGGGCTGGGAGGCGGCTGGGTGGGGCACACGCACATTCTCCACATGGAGAAGTGAAGGAGAAACTAAGACATCCCCAGACAAGTGCACATGGAGAGAATTCATGGCTAGACCTTCCCCTCTGAACACATCATGAAGTGCTCGGGCCCTGCCAGATGCCCGCTGGGGACACGGCTGCCCGAGGTGAGCCCTGTGCGCCCAGCGCCTCTTAGAAAGGCCCGACCTGTAACCCGGATGGTGGTGGCCCCCATGGCCACGGCACGTCCACACCCTCAGCATTTTAATCAGAAGATGCACCATTTCCTCACATTGAACACAATCATGGAGACGGAGGCCACTGCCCAGACCTGTCCGCTCTCCCCTCCGGGGCCCTGGCAGAGGGAGAGGAGCCGAGAGCGGAGGGGACCACAGCACAGGTGCCCCTAACTCAGCGCGTAGTTAAACTGGTTTGCAAACTTCTCGTGCTTCTTCCGGTCCATCTGGTTCATGGCTGTGACCACCCTCTGCACGGCCGCCCTGCAGGCAGAGCAAAGCGAGATGTGAGCAGGGAGCCTGGCTGGTTTCTGACCAGGGCCCGGCTGCCATGGGGTTGGGTCCGGAGGCAGACGCAGCCCTCGGACCTCTCAGACTGCAGGCTGGTGAGTGACACAGCGCGGAAACGGCCGGCGCTGGAGGCCACAGTGGGGAGCCCGAGCCCAGAGGCGGCCTCGCCAATGCCGACTGCATTCCCAACAGGCACAGCCTGCCCAGCAGTGGGCGGGGAGCGTGTGCAGGCAGTGCAGGTAGAAAGCACGGCTCAGCCTCTGCCCCGCTGTGGCCCAGCCACACCAGGGCCCATGCCCACAGTCCTGGGGAAACACGTACGGACAGGCAGCAGAAAGATGTGGACGGGATCCCGCCCAGCTGACTGCTGTGTCTGGACTCAGCAGGGCCCGTGCCCAGGAGGAAGCACCCGAGGCCGCGAAGCAGTGACTGCTGGGCCCTGCTCCAGAGGCTCTGCCCTGCACGGGGCTCGGTCACCCAGCTCTCCTCAGGCCCCCAGTCACACAGCTGCTGCGAGCAGCCCGCTCTGGGCCCCAAGGATGCAGCGAGGACACGGCTCCGGGTCAGCACCCAGGTGCCCTTTACCCCGGGCTGATCCACAGGAAACCAGCCTCGTGCCTGGAGCCTGGGGCCTCGCCCGAATCTGGACATGGAAGGACACGACGAGCCAGCGGGGAGAAGCCCGTGGGGCTCCAGGTGGGCACCCAGGAAGCTGCCCTGCTGCCCAGCCCCACCTGGACCGGGTAGACAGCACAGCCAGGAGGGCGGGGGCATCCCCTGCCCCATACGCTCAGCCCTCCGGGTCGGCCGGGCAAGGGAAGACCCAGGCTGGCTCCGCGCCAGCAGCCCTGCTTGGGAAGAGGCTCACCCGTGACCACGGGGCGACCGCTCCAGGCTCCACCCGAGGGCCTGCTGCCCCTCCCTGGCTGGGAGCCCAGTGGCCACAGGAAGAAATGCACAGCAGAGGGGGTGCCACGGGCCTCGGGGGACGGCTGGGAGCTTGGCCGGCTGCCCTCCGGGGCTGGTGAGGGGCTCTTACTTAGCGAAGACCTTCTTGGCGATGCGTGTGCGGGTGGTGTCTGCCTGCTGCTTCAGGTCGGTGAGGCCGGGGTGCCTCCTCTTCTTGCCTTTGCCTCTCCTGCCAGCCCTGGACGAGCCAAGGTCCACCCCTGTGGCCACCTCCACATCCCTCATAAACTCGGGGTCCTGCCAGTCTGCAAACAGACCCGAGACTTCAGAAAACACCTGGCACCAACCCCGTGCCTCTCCCCGATCGCCCACGGTGACCGAAGGGGCAGGGAGGCCGCTGGCCGCTCCCTAGGGCTGAGGCCAAGGCAGAGCTCCTCCCACTGCCTGCGCCCTAGGACGCAGCACCCGCACCACCAGCGGGAGAGCTGGGCTGGGGGCAATGCCTCTCACAGGCTGCTCCTGCTGTCCAGGCTGGACTGTCCCCCCAGGCCCCCATCGCGGCCTCTCGACCTGCCTGCTGGCCGAGGGCATGCACAGCAGGGGGGCCCTGGCGAGGGGGCAGGGAGGGCTGGGCTTTCTTTGTGTTGGTCCAAAGGTGACTTGGCCACAGGTCTCAGCAGTGAGGGTGTGTGTTCACCCGGAGCCCTGTTCCTCCTGCACGCGCCCTTCGCGGCCAGGCCTGGGGGCGGCAGTGGCATGGAAGGACACGACGAGCCAGCGGGGAGAAGCCCGTGGGGCTCCAGGTGGGCACCCAGGAAGCTGCCCTGCTGCCCAGCCCCACCTGGACCGGGTAGACAGCACAGCCAGGAGGGCGGGGGCATCCCCTGCCCCATACGCTCAGCCCTCCGGGTCGGCCGGGCAAGGGAAGACCCAGGCTGGCTCCGCGCCAGCAGCCCTGCTTGGGAAGAGGCTCACCCGTGACCACGGGGCGACCGCTCCAGGCTCCACCCGAGGGCCTGCTGCCCCTCCCTGGCTGGGAGCCCAGTGGCCACAGGAAGAAATGCACAGCAGAGGGGGTGCCACGGGCCTCGGGGGACGGCTGGGAGCTTGGCCGGCTGCCCTCCGGGGCTGGTGAGGGGCTCTTACTTAGCGAAGACCTTCTTGGCGATGCGTGTGCGGGCGGTGTCTGCCTGCTGCTTCAGGTCGGTGAGGCCGGGGTGCCTCCTCTTCTTGCCTTTGCCTCTCCTGCCAGCCCTGGACGAGCCAAGGTCCACCCCTGTGGCCACCTCCACATCCCTCATAAACTCGGGGTCCTGCCAGTCTGCAAACAGACCCGAGACTTCAGAAAACACCTGGCACCAACCCCGTGCCTCTCCCCGATCGCCCACGGTGACCGAAGGGGCAGGGAGGCCGCTGGCCGCTCCCTAGGGCTGAGGCCAAGGCAGAGCTCCTCCCACTGCCTGCGCCCTAGGACGCAGCACCCGCACCACCAGCGGGAGAGCTGGGCTGGGGGCAATGCCTCTCACAGGCTGCTCCTGCTGTCCAGGCTGGACTGTCCCCCCAGGCCCCCATCGCGGCCTCTCGACCTGCCTGCTGGCCGAGGGCATGCACAGCAGGGGGGCCCTGGCGAGGGGGCAGGGAGGGCTGGGCTTTCTTTGTGTTGGTCCAAAGGTGACTTGGCCACAGGTCTCAGCAGTGAGGGTGTGTGTTCACCCGGAGCCCTGTTCCTCCTGCACGCGCCCTTCGCGGCCAGGCCTGGGGGCAGCAGTGGCCGCAGGTGGCACCAGGCCCGGCCGTGTGCTCATGTGCAGGGCTGCCGAGGGCTCTGTCTAAGGGGGCTCTGGCCCGGGTCAGAGGCCAAGGTGCCCACTCTGGCAGCCAGGCCTGTGCTCTGAAAGGCCACGAGGGGCCCATGAGACATGGTGTGGGTCCAGCCAGCAGCCCAGAGGGCCACACAGGCCAGGAGTCACAGCACAGCACCCTGGCTCAGCCGGACAGACCCGCAGGGGGTGCTGGACCCCCCACCTCGCAAGCGGGAACCTGGGTGGGGGGGGCTGTGAGCAGAGTACGCAGGGCACAGGGAAGCCGTGCCTCCCTCAGACAGATGGCGAGGCCTCCCCAAGTTGATTTTTTGAAGTGAAGGAAAACGGGCTGCAGAGCTCAGATACAGAGACGATTAATCCAAGATTAAGGAAAACTGTCTAAACAGTTTATCTCCCAGTAATAAGAAGGCGTCACAGTTTAGGAACCCAGTGAATGGAGCAATTGTTTAAACACAACGGAAAACGCAGCGCCCGCGCGAGATGGAATGAGCATCTCGGGGAAATGAAGGAGCAATTTAAAGCCTCTGGAGAAAATCGATAGCTGCCGGGCGCGCGCCTCCTCCGACGGCGGAGCCTGCATTGTCACCGGGAGGGCGCCAGGAAGAAAATTGCCCCGCGTGCGGGGAGGCGGGATCGATACTGCAGTTAGTGCAGAGACGCTATTTCACATCTGACTGGCCGCCCGGCCGGCCCGCGGCCCATACCTGTTGTTAACAAGTCACCGCGGCTGGGGACAGACACTCCTCAGGGCGACACAGAAACAGGCACTTAATCTGCTCCTGAGTGCGCACCTCCTGGGGGGCTTGCCTGCGGATTAGCAGGTCCCGACCCTCCTGCCCATCGGGCCAGGGCCAGGCGCCGGCCGGGCATCGGGCTAAATCTAATCTTCGTCTCTCAGGACAAAGGAAACCCTCCACTAATGACAAACACCCGCTGGGACCCCACACGCTGGCCAGCACCCCCCAGACTCAGCTGCCTCCCACCTTCCTCGGGGGTCTGGGGCAAGGACACCGGTGGCCAGGGCCTCAAGACTCCAGTCCACTGAGCACCCACGTGCTGCCCAGCCGGTGACGGCACCGCCCCACGTCACCTCGCGGCCCTGCTGCATGGCATGTGCCCCACACCAAGCTGACACACCCACCACGGTGAGACAGCTCCCTACACTGTCCTGAGCATGACGACTAGGGGCTGCAGCTCATCTGAAACTGGCCCTCTGCCAGAAGATGGGGAGCCTGGCGAGGACCCCAAGGAGCATCTGGAGACGCAGCGCCCCTCGCCTCTGCCCAGACACACACACACACACACACACACACGTACGTGCACACATACCGCACATGCTAGGCAGAGGGATGGGGCTTGGCGAGAGCCAGCCCACAGGTATGAGGGCAGAACGAGCCGTTTCCTCAGCAGCATGGGCTCAGCCCATCAGCTTTTCTTGCCTCAATTCCCTCATTTGCCTGCAAAGCCTGATTCAGACCCCAGAGCCCCCCAAGCCAGTGTGACGGGGCTTCCGGAGTGGGGGTGCCCACTCTCCCACAGGAGCGCCCGACACCCACAGGCTGTGTGGACCCAGGGGCTCAGCTGGAGAGGCAGGTCCACACACAGATACACAGAGTCGCCCTGGTGGCTGCTGGGACCCACTGTC